TTTAGCAGGAACAAAATGTACCTGTGAAAATGTTGTTAGATGAACTACAGCGGCAGGATGAGGTGAAACATCCTGCTGAACACAGAAGATGGTAAAGCTCTGTTCATCTACGTCCTTCATTATCGTCTTATACTCGTCCAATATGGTGCTTGAGGTGTTATTCATGGAAAGTTGACTCATAACGGCTTTACCTAATGAGTCACTATGGAACATATACGAGTGGCATTGTGTGAAACTGACAACTACAACTTTATTTTAACTTCCCCACTAAAGAAACAAGAGCAAGATTTAACATTTAGAGGTAACCAGACCTTCTTTCAAATACAACACAACTGGACGGCTCATGGCTTCACTGTATAGTAAGACAATGTTGCCATCTAGTGAGTAACAGGGCAAACTGTTTACTGACCTGTTTGTTTCCATGTGAAAAGGCTATTGCCCACTTATTAATAGTTATCCCCTAAGCTTTAGTGGAACTGGTTTACCAAAATGTCTCTATTGATAATGTATTTCTAAATAATAGTGCTTTGTTTGTTTATACTGAATGCTGTAAGAACATTTTGTGTAAAGTGAAACAAACTTCTGTGCATGATACAGAGTCATGCTGTAGGACTATGCTTGTAACTTCTACTTATTGATCAATATGAAAACATAAAACAAAATGTCATTTTAAGCCAAGTAAAACAAGTAGCATAGGGGCAGGCAATAAACTTGCACCAGTTAATACAGGATAGACATTGGCTGTGGCAGGAAGAAAGTCCGAGGTGAACAGGATGCTACAATTGTAGATGACCATTTTATTTTTAAAATAATCATTCCTTTAACTAATTAATAAAAAATAGGCTTGGGAGTAAGGCCACTTGATGAAAAATGTGATGTTTATCAATGCATAATGAAGGTAAATATGATATGTAAACATTTACATATATATTTGTTTCAATAGGATTCAAATGAAAGAAAAATGCCATGCCTTATATGGAAATGAAGGGTGTTTCCAGACATCCTGTATAGTAAAAACAAACAACAACAGGGTATTGATAAAATGCAAAATGGGGGAAATTCGGCCCTGTCCATGGTGCTGATTGTGTCAGCAGACAGAAGTGACAGCTTAAATAATCCTTAAATAAAACATAAATACAGTAGCTTCAAACAAGGCATGATATTGTTACCATAACAACTTAGTTTGCACACACAAAAACACAGTGTGCTTTTTGGTTTTACCAGCAGCAACCTTCAATCCTATTTCAATAATCGGACTAATCCCGCAATCCCAAAAAGGGCAAAACGAACAATTGAGAGAGACTTGTTTTACCACATTCACATTCTCCCATTTTAAAGGTGAATGTATAGGTTATTCAATGTGTTTTACAGACCCAAGAGATAAAAGGGACAACATATCAATTGAATGAATGCAAAGCTTGTTCTGGCATTTTCTTCTGGTTCCACACTGTCCAAAATTCAACCATGATTGAAACCAGACGTCAATGTGAGCTGAGAGCGCTATCTGGGGGATAAACGGTGTTATGACATGTATATCACAGGGGAGGGGATCAAATCAGTATTATTTTCAAACCTAATTTAGGAATTATAATCGCATATGCTTTATAATCTTGTGCTCAAACATAAATCAGCAAAAATGAATAAAATATCTAAAACGGAAGCCCACTGTGTTATCATGTAAGGTGAAAGTATGCTTTGGAGGGAGAATTTTCCCCAAAAAAGGTAATTAAAGATCATGTCTGGGGAGGATGTGTGTATAGTCTGTAGGGGGTTTGTTGATGAAGGCTATTTTTTCTGCATCACCAACAGAAATTAGAGATTTGGTTTTGCAAGAGGGAATAGGCTACAAACTCCAAAATATATTAATAATTAATACCAGTATCTCTTTAAAGTTGATTATACACTTGTTTTCTGCTGACCTGCATCTGAGCCAAATATCCACACTCGACACTTTAAAAAGGAACATTCTGCCCATGCCTGGTTTATGTTATAGGCATAATGGTAATATGGTTTTGATAGCCATTTAAGATTATTGCTTTTGTATGTATAATATTTATAAATTCACATATTTACATAAACGTGTTAATCAAAGCTATTCAACGAAAATGTTTGAAAATGGTTTCAAGAATAATACATTTTCTAGACAAAAAAAACTGAAAACAGGAAAATGTGAAAATGTAGCAAAAATCAAGGCTACTGTAGAAGGTAAACAGACTCGTTTAGTGATTTGAAGATCTGAATGAATAAAGACGAACAATTCATAAAGTCACACTCCAAAGCCAATGTTTCATAATTCCTGCACTTTTAAGCATAACTTAATCAAGGTTTTTTAAATGTTAAACTCATACTCTTCAAGACATCACACCAACGTTGAAACAGATGATTTCCAAAAATCCAACTGTCAAGCTCAACCCTAAAGAGCGGGGTTGCATTCGAATAGTCCATTTAGCTTAGGAACCTTCCTAACGGAGTGAAATGACCCGGAAGTCCCTCAGTGGCAGCCATGATAAGTGCCGTTCGAATTCTCTAAATTAAAAGGAAAGGAGGTTTCAAACTTCCTTTATAACCTCCTTTAGCCTAGGAACCACTGGACCTCCCTAACCGAAAGGAGAGGAGAAAATGCTGCCCCACAATGCCTTGCGGCCGCAGCATTTGCCGTCACACAACAGTCGGCCGTTCACGGAAACAACCGATTATGAACGAGAAATGATATCATGAAAGTTACGGTGCTTATTAAGCATTTTAAAACGTATGTGGTAAGTTGCCAAAGTGCTTTGTTTTGAACGTTCATCAGTATTATAATCAAAAAGAGAAATATGAACGTTAGTTTTGACTGAAATGATCAAATAAAGTCAACATTTCAGTCTTTACTGAGCTGTGTGGGGTTTGTTCAACTTTTAAAAGATGTTTGAATGGTGATATACACAGTGATAGATGTTAAGGACTAACCGTTATAATAAATACATTTGTATTGATTTTAAGATCTTTTCATACAATCATACGTATTGGGATCATTTGTATTAATGTGGACCGGAGGGAGAGGGTGACGAGCATAAGTTTCACTTTCCTTTTTTATTTCAATTCCAACTTTGGTCATGAAGAATATGTTTCTCTGTTGTCCCCGTTCATAAAGCATAAAACAACAGCATCAGAGCACGGTGCAGAGTCTCTAGATGAGTTTACAGTAGTCCCTCGTTCTTATTAAACATCCATGTTGTAGTCCGCTGTATAGAAAACTGTAGTTTCCATAGTTTCCCCACAGCAGCAGACGCACATTTATGACGTCCGCTGGCGCATCATAAACACGTCGGATAGTGAAAGTGCAGTCGGATTCTCTAAGTACCGCAGTCTCTTCTCCTAAATCCTTTTGAATTCTCCTATCCACTATCCCTTAACCCCATGACGTTTCACTCCGAGGTCAAGGAATAGACGATAGGGATAGAACTTAGGAGCTGTTTTTTTGGAGTATTCGAACGCAACCCAAGAGGTGCAGCAATGTAGGCCGAGGTTGCATTCGAATAGTCCATTTAGCTTAGGAACCTTCCTAACGGAGTGAAATGACCCGGAAGTCCCTCAGTGGCAGCCATGATAAGTGCCGTTCGAATTCTCTAAATTAAAAGGAAAGGAGGTTTCAAACTTCCTTTATAACCTCCTTTAGCCTAGGAACCACTGGACATCCCTAACCGAAAGGAGAGGAGAAAATGCTGCCCCACAATGCCTTGCGGCCGCAGCATTTGCCGTCACACAACAGTCGGCCGTTCACGGAAACAACCGATTATGAACGAGAAATGATATCATGAAAGTTACGGTGCTTATTAAGCATTTTAAAACGTATGTGGTAAGTTGCCAAAGTGCTTTGTTTTGAACGTTCATCAGTATTATAATCAAAAAGAGAAATATGAACGTTAGTTTTTACTGAAATGATCAAATAAAGTCAACATTTCACTGAGCTGTGTGGGGTTTGTTCAACTTTTAAAAGATGTTTGAATGGTGATATACACAGTGATAGATGTTAAGGACTAACGTTTATAATAAATACATTTGTATTGATTTTAAGATCTTTTCATACAATCATATGTATTGGGATCATTTGTATTAATGTGGACCGGAGGGAGAGGGTGACGAGCATAAGTTTCACTTTCCTTTTTTATTTCAATTCCAACTTTGGTCATGAAGAATATGTTTCTCTGTTGTCCCCGTTCATAAAGCATAAAACAACAGCATCAGAGCACGGTGCAGAGTCTCTAGATGAGTTTACAGTAGTCCCTCGTGCTTATTAAACATCCATGTTGTAGTCCGCTGTATAGAAAACTGTAGTTTCCATAGTTTCCCCACAGCAGCAGGCGCACATTTATGACCACTGCTGGCGCATCATAAACACGTCGGATAGTGAAAGTGCAGTCGGATTCTCTAAAGTGCCGCAGTCTCTTCTCCTAAATCCTTTTGAATTCTCCTATCCACTATCCCTTAACCCCATGACGTTTCACTCCGAGGTCAAGGAATAGACGATAGGGTTAGAACTTAGGAGCTGTTTTTTTGGAGTATTCGAACGCAACCCGAGTTTAAACCAATCATAGATTAGTCAAGAACATGCAAATTGATGGCCACTTCAACAACACAGAAAGAACACGGAGGCCTGTGCGTCAACACACAGAGCCCAAAACATTGGTAGCCAATATACAACTCATACTGTTTGCCAAGAAATCACACACATCAGATATCTGGTGCTGAAATGAATGTGTCAATAAACAAGCAAACATCATCCAAGAACCATGCACGCAACAGATTACGATTTGTAATCAAAACCAGCTGCGTAGTAGGCTACATGAAACGAGACAGCAACTTCCTCGTAATGCCTTCCGAAATAATATTGCACCTTCAAATGCACACTTTATCAACACAATGGCTACTTTCTTTCACCAGTAAGCACAGCGTAAATCCCAAAACACTGCACTGCACATTTAACCAGTTATAGACATTATCACAACTAGCGGTCCTACCTTACAGCAGGTGCGTTCTTCTTGGCCTTGCTCCTCCTCGCAGACGCATCATCCATCACCATAAAATTCCATGTCCAAACTTGAAAGTGTCCAAACTTCCTGACCTGCTAGTCGTGAGTTCGTTAGACATGCCAGTTAACTCTTTGGCCGCTGTCATTGGGAGGGCGTTTTTGCTCAAGTATCGCAATGTTGAGAAAACGTCAAGCTAACTTTACGACGCGTCCTCGCTCTTTGTATCCTCACGTTTTTCCACAAAATATGTGGTTTTAGCATCCTTCTCAGTATTTGTTGCAGTAGTATTTTCCTTAATTTGCTTTCCCTTATTTTTGCAATGCAATGTGTCAATTATGTAGCTTGTGTCCACCAACTGGTCTGGAAGTTTTGTGTAGTAGTTCCCTCTCGATGCTGCGCCATTCGAACGTCGATCTTCTGCGCCGTCTCTACGCTCCTCATACTACGCATGCGTGCAGCAGCGCCATCCGGTGGTGAGTACAAACATGCGCGAAGTAGTTGTCATTGTAGAGCTTCTTTTCACAGCAGTCATTTGCCAAGAACGGTTACTATAGTTTGTAATATCAAACTTGCATGGATTACTTTAACCCTTACAAAGGGTTATGTATGGGGTTAGATTTGTCTCATAAATATTTGTGTGAACATAAAAATAATGTGTGTGTAAATATGTGATTTGTAAATGTAAAACACCATCCACAAATGCATTTAAAAGATTTGCAAACTCACAAATACATTTGCAAATGTAAAACGGATCTGCAAATACGCAAAATATGTTCACAAATAAAAAAAAGATCTGTGAATACTATAATTAATTTACAAATAAACAAAAGGAATTTGTGAATATCTCTTCAACATTGACAACTTTCGATCAGGCATTTGTGAATCCATTTTGTGTTTGTCAACCAAAATGCGCTTGTGGATCTCAAATCTCTGCTTGTGGATCTCAAATCTCTGCTTGTGGGTCGTCTTTTTACACACAGAGAGTTTTGAGACAAAATTTCCGCCGGTCTCGACCGAAATCTGCTCGTGTCACTCGGTTATTTTCGGAAACCACGTGATGGCTTGCTGATGACGACATTTCCGCATTTCAAGGTTTCAATTCAAAGTATAAGCATGATGGCTTCCCTCTGGGGTCGACGCGTGCAGCGCCATGTCGAAGTGCGCATATTCTACGTATTTAATCAGATCTTTTCGATTATAAGGAGTACAAATATCATGCAGATAACCACCGAATCGCTGGAACTGTAGCTTTCCGGCGGTACCTATTGTGAGACTTTACCCAACTCACAGCAGCCAATAAGGCCGCTCAAAGCAGCTTGACTTTGCGTTACACTGTGTGGGATTTGGTTGTATCGTATGTCGGTCAAGTAATTTGAGCTTGCCCCCGGACCCCCCTATGTGAGGTCCACACATCACCTATAAAAATAGCACTTTACCTCTGCTTACACCTATATGCCGTGAGCTGATTATCGAGCCTTCATTGTAACAGTCGCGGGTACATTGTGTACAGTATATGCGTGGGGATTGTTGCAGTAGAATATTCCACTGTAGCGACCTGTACATTAATGGGAAACCCTAAATGTTTGAGCACCCTCTATGAAACGTCAAGCTACCTCACAGCACCCCCAAAATAAATCTCTGGCGCCGCCACTGAGCCTGACTTGTGTTGGGGGGACCCGACTTTTTTTTTTCTCCAAAGGGGGGGGACTGACAGAAAAAGTTTGAGAACCACTGAGTTAACGTATGTGAGGAAACAAGAGAGAGACTGAGAAAATGGCTAAAAAAACCATAACAGTTACGGACGCGCTAGAGATTATTTTCGCTAGCACTCGTAAAAATGGAACATCAGAACCAGAAGGCTTCGACTCTTCTGAAGAAGAATACAGGGACAACAAGGATCCATCTGGACATGGGTAAGTGTAAATATTACAGTAATAGTGTACTTTCATTTTGTGTGGAATACCGCAAAAATGAACAATATGTTGATTGAACTTTTTCTTTTCATTTAATTTCAAACCTTTATTTAACCAGGTGAATCCCATTGAGATCATCAATCTCTTTTTCAAGGGAGACCTGCACTTGGGACAAAATAGACTCTCAAATAGTAAACTTTTACTCTGTGTAAACGTTTTTTATGTGTAAAAGTTATTTTGATGTGTAAAAGTGAGGTTACATGTGTAGATGAAAAAACAATCGTTTATTCGTCCCACAACGGAGACATTTACAGTGGCTATAGACATGTATTTTATCCTACTGTTTTGTAGAGAGGGGACTTTGTTATAGATGTATTTATATATGTGTCTGTGATTTTATACTGAATGTAGAGTAACTGGAAGTGTGTGTGTGTGTTGTGCACCGACAGAAATGCTAGAGAGATGCATGTTATTTACGTTTGCTTTCTCTCATTCCAGGCTTCCTGATTATTTTCACCTGTGTCTCCTGTGCTCATCAATGTCAGCCCCGCCCCTGATTGGTCCCACCTGTGTCTAGTTACCCTGTGCTTATATTCCCCTGTCTCCCAAGTGTTCTTTGTCAGTTCGTATTGTCTCTTGCTATGGTCAGGTCTATGCTCTTTGTACTCTTGTAAAGTTTGATTCCTCACTACGTGAGCGCTTTCATTTTGTTCCTCTATTTTTGTCATCTCGGTTAGAGATTTGATAGTTACCTTTTTTGTTGTTCATTGCTGTATTTTGGAAAATAAAGTATCTTACTAATACTTTACCTCTGTCTCCCGGGTCGTGCAATTGGGTCCTACATCCTAAGTGTCTGAGTTCGTAACAGAACGAACTGACCATTATGGACCCAGCCGACCCAAGAACGCTTCACGCAGCGCTGTCAGCACAGGGCGTGAAGATCTTTCATCACGAGGAACAGCTGGGCCTAGTCAACCAGGAAATGCAAGAACTAAGAGGACGCCAGGCCGGGATTCAGGAAGCATTATCCACACAGATGCAACAACTGGCTGTCCAAATGAATCATTTTTTCACTCACCAACAGACTGCTCCTCCGGTGACGTCATCCACAACTGAGAGGTTGCCTGTCAATGCTCCAGCTGATTTCCCAAGTCAGGCTGTTTCTTCCCCTTTACGGCTGGCTCTTCCGGAGAGATTTTCCGGAGATTCTTCTAATTGCAGAGCCTTTTTGGTACAGTGCGATCTGCATTTTCAACACAACCCAGGAGCCTTTTCATCGGACCATGGTAAAGTGGCGTTTATTGTGTCTCATTTAACGGGAAGAGCTGCAGCCTGGGCTACTGCAGAATGGTCAAAAGAAACTGAACTATGTTACTCATTGACCGATTTCATAGAGACTATGAGTCGTATTTTTGACCACTCATCGCCTGCTACAGAGGCCAGCAGAAAACTTTTTCATATACGCCAGCTCAACCGCCAGGTGGTTGATTACGCCATCGAGTTTCGCACAGCAGCAGCGGACAGCGGATGGAATGTTCCGGCTCTTCGTGACGCCTTCATGACGGGACTTTCGGAACCGATAAAAGACCAGCTGGCTCCACTGGAGACACCCCGGGATCTGGAATCTCTCATCGCCGTGGCCATCCGGATCGATAACCGTCTTCGGGAAAGAGAGAGGGAGCGTCGACGCAACCGAGACGTTATTCCCAGCTCCCAGAATGCATCTTGGTGGGTCGCGCCGCCAGCCGAGGATGTCCAGCCCATGTTACCACACCGTCAGAGGATTACACTTCCGAATGACTCCGGGGAACCCATGCAGCTGGGAAGAACCAGGCTTTCTCTGGAGGAGAGGCAGCGCCGTCTACGGGAGGGTTGTTGTTTCTACTGCGGCCAGTCGGATCATCAACTCGCTTCATGCCCGGGAAAAGATCGTGCTCACCAGTCAAAAGGAGGGCGCTGGTGAGCAAGTTTCCCGCAGACTTTCCTCCTCGACCTGTTACGCAGGTAAACATTTGTATTAACAATCAAACCATTGACCAGGGTGTGTTAATAGACTCAGGGGCTGACGAAAGTCTTATGGACTGGGGCGTAGTAAATCAGCTAGAAATAAAGACTGTTCCGCTATCTCATCCTATTAATGCCAGTGCCTTGGACGGCCGCTTGTTGTTCACAGTCACCCATTGCACTGAGCCCATTCAGATTACTGTGAATAAGGACCATACCGAGAGCATGCAATTCCATATTTTTGAGTCGGCTCAGCACCCGATTATTTTGGGGTTTCCATGGCTAAAGATCCACAATCCTCACATTGACTGGCGTTCAGGGAAAATTAAGGAATGGGGAGAGGATTGTATGGGCAGGTGTAAACTTTCACAACCTGTTAATGCACCAACAGACTCTCGTAAAATCATTATAGATCACCCCGACTATCCTGATCTACAGAAGGTACCTTCCTGTTACCATGATTTAAAGGAAGCCTTTAACAAATCCAAAGCCATGTCGCTACCTCCTCACCGAGATTTTGACTGTCCCATTGATCTCTTACCGGGAGCCCCCATTCCCAAGGGGAAACTTTATTCGATTTCGAGACCTGAGAGAGCAGCAATGGACGAATACATTTCCTCTTCACTCAAATCAGGAATTATCCGTCCTTCATCTTCTCCAGCCGGAGCGGGATTTTTCTTTGTGGGAAAGAAAGACGGGTCTCTGAGACCTTGCATAGACTACAGTCCACTAAATGACATTACGGTGAAGAACCGCTATCCTCTGCCACTCATGACATCTGCCTTTGAACTACTTCAAACTGCCAAAATATTCACCAAGTTAGATTTAAGAAATGCATATCACTTGGTTAGAATAAGAAAAGGGGATGAGTGGAAGACAGGATTCAACACTCAGAGTGGTCACTATGAGTATCTAGTAATGCCCTTTGGACTATGCAATGCACCGGCTGTGTTTCAAGCTCTTGTGAATGAGGTTTTACGGGAATTTTTGAATATTTCAGTGTTTGTGTATCTGGATGATATTCTGATTTTCTCCCCAGATACTAAGTCTCATGTTAACCATGTCCGTCAGGTTTTGCAGAAACTGCTAGAGAATCAGTTATATGTCA